TAAGATAGGAACTGAAACTAAAAAGGTTTTGGAGATCCTCTTCCAAAAGACAAAACTAAGTTACAATTTTTATTAAAAGCATTCCTCCAAGCTAGTCAGATTGTGAATCAGAGAGGTGAGAGAAGAATGCTAATCTCATGTTAAGCTTTTGCTTTCTATAATACAGACTTCACATGTGATACCGGAGACATGGAAGATAGGCTAATTTTTATAGGAAATTGGTCTTTCATTGTACATGATGTATAAATTAGAGCATTGAAGAAGCTGCTCTGCTAGTAACAGAAAGTACAGAAAATATCTTGCAGTGATTCCCTATTTTCCCTCCTTGATTGAATAATTCTGGGAAGTCAGAATTATCTTCTCAAATGGAAATCACTATTTTATTCTTGTTTAATACAAATCTAATGTATTAGTGGTGGTAAAATACAACCATTATTTTTATATAGTCTTGGAAACAAATTTTATGCCAGTATTTGCAATGAGTTTAATTTTCTAACACCATTTCGCTTTAGAGTTGGTTATTTTGTGTTGCATGAATACCTACAGGTTAGAAAGGAGTTTATAACCTGGGAACATTCTGAAAAGTGCAATTTAAATAGTTAGCAAGCATAAGGATGATGAGGTAGACAATAATTAATGGAATACATAAAAATGGAGCTGTTATCCAATTTCTTACTTTCCAAAATTCTCAGCAACATTACAGAAGTATAGGTTAGTTTAAAACTGCTTGAATGGATATGTTAAAATTTAGTTTACCCTAAGTGGGTTCTATAAAACTAATATATTATTCTTTATATTCCTAGTCACTGTTGACCCATATTAGGTGAAATTAGTAATGAAATAATAACCATTTGTAATTAATTTTTTTGAAAGTAGAAGTGGTAGTGTTTTTAGGTTGAGCCAGAAATTACCTTCTATCTATACTAATAAAAGGGTAATATGCTAATTAGACCTTCTAGACATCCTTCCAGACAAAGCCATGGTGGTTGGGACAAGGCAGAGATAGTTAGGGGCAATCAGGCCAGGAGGGGAGGGCAGTTGGGGGTGATCAGGCTAGTGGGGGGGAGCAATTGGGGGCTAGCAGGCCAGCACAGAGGGCCAGTTAGAGGGCAAGCAGGCTGGTGGAAGGGCAGTTGGGAGTTAGTAGTCTGGCGGCAGGCGGGGGGCGGGGGGGTTAAGGGGGCAGTTGGGTGCAACTGGACCGGCGGGGATCGGGCCAGCAGGGGAGCAGTTGGGCGTCAATCAGGCTAGCAGGACAGTGGTTAGGGGATGATCAGGCTGGCAGGCAGAAGCAGTTAGGGGCAATCAGGCAGGAAGGCAGGCAGATGGTTGGGAGCCAGCAGTCCTGGATTTTGAGAGGATATTCGACTACCAGTTTAGGCCTGATCCCCAAGGGGTTCTAGATTAAAGAGGGTACAGGCTGGCTGAGAGACAACCACCTTGCCCCATGCACGAATTTGTGCACCAGGCCACTAGTAATTCTTATAATCAAGGTCATACCATGCTTGAATTTGGCTTCATCAATGCTATTCAGAGTCTTGACCTTTTTTATTCCTAAAATATACACTGATTGGCCAGATTATTATGATCTCTGAATGCATAATAATCTGATCACTCTGTGTGTGTGTGTGTGTGTGTGTGTGTGTGTGTGTGTGTATTTTAAAGGCCCAGTGCATGAATTCCTGCAGGGAGAGGAGACATGGGTGGTTGGCTGGCCTGCCTGCTGATTGAGGGGACAATTTGCATGTTAGCCTTTTATTATATAGGCTATATACTGACCAGATTATTATGTGTTGGTATTTATGTTGAATTCATTTTCTATTTTATCTTAAATATATGGAACTAAAATAAGAGAATTTGAGCTATCTAATTATTTACTTATGGCAGTTTTACAAAGGTCTGACCTGATCATTTAAATCTTTAATAAAGAGGAGACTTTGAAAATAAAATACTTTTAAATAGTATAGTGACCTTATGTACTTATACAACATTTTCTCTTTTACAGCGTGAAAGCCTATAGGAAAAATGTTTTGGCAAAATGTGTACGTACCTACCTATATTCTACTTTGTAATAATAGTTCTGCTTTATGAGTTTAAAATTAAGGGGGTATACATATATTGGTTTCCATTGTTGGTTTTTATAATACCCTTTTATTTCATCTCCAAGTTTTCTTTTTAAATTGGTAAATTTCACCTTTTCTATGATTGTATATTCATTTTGTATTCTTATTTTTCATCTTATTTATAAAAATTTCCTTATGTAGAACACTATCTAAGAAAGTATTTTATAACATGTTTGTTGATCTAATTTTATAAGGAAAGATTTTGAAGATAATGTCTAAATAGTGGGAAGAGTATGGAATTGAAATCCACCTCTCCATTATTTTGCCAAGTTTGCTGGCTCTCTATTTAAAAAGACTATTCTTAGCTCAGTTATGAGCATCAAATGATAAATACTATTTCTAAACTCTTTGCACAGGGACTGGTACATTTATGTCTATGCAAGTTTCTATATTAGGCTACAGCTATATGTAATAATCCAAAATTTCAGGCCTTGAATCAGTAAGGAGATTCATAGTTCTTCCTTGTCATGGATAATGTAGTGCTGGATTTCCTTGGGGATTTTCATTTCCATCCAAAAATAAACAAAGCCTTAATCATTCTTAAAGGCAATAAAATTGGGGTCCACTAGGAAGAGGACTAGAGAGGTATCTTTGCAGATATCTTCCTCATGGACTCATGGATAATAATTGTAAGGTTGTTGTATTGATGTCACTATGTAATTGTATGTAATATTTTTCTATGGAGTGATTTGGACTTCCAATTTTTTTAATATTTTTCAGTATGGTGGTGATATTACCCGGAAAATGAAGCTTTTAAAGAGACAAGCAGAAGGAAAGAAAAAACTGAGGAAGGTTGGCAACATAGAAGTTCCTAAAGATGCTTTTATAAAAGTTCTGAAGACACAAACTGATAAATAATTGGTGTGAAAATATAAGTAATTTTATTAATTAAAAGTTGTGTGTCCTTTAGTTTTTCTTGAAAGTTTATAACATGTTGACAGTAGAAAGAAAATTATAAAATTAGCTTGTTACTTCTAGGGTTTTCAGATATAAACCATTTGGCTTTTCTTTGAAGGGTACTAGTAAGTGGATAAGAGCTTGGACTCTGAAGGCATATCGTCTGGTTTCAAATTTCTGTTCCACCACTTACTAGCAAGGTAAATTACTTACCTCTCTTAGTCTGTTTACTCTAGTAAAATCAGGTTAAACTATACTTACCTCTATAGGTTGTTAAATAAGATAAAATGGTTGAAATACTCAGAAGATTGCATGACACATAGTAAGTGCTCAGTGAATCTTAACTACACTGAGTGGCCAGATTATTATGATCTCTGAATGCATAATAATCTGGCCGCTTAGTGTATATCCTATATAATAAAAGGCTAATATGCAAATTGTCTCTCTAACCCCCCCCCCCACCCCCACCAGGAGTTTGACCAGCAGGCAGGTTGGCCAACTGCCCATGTCCCCTCCCTCAGGCCATTTTGATAAAAAAAATTTGTTACTTTGATACTGGATGGTTTACATACAGCGTGAGGCAAAAGGTTTAGAATTTTTATGGAAAATACCATAATTCTAAATAATGACAAGAATAAACTATGTTTCATGTAATCACAACTGTAAACCTATTTTTGCCTCACACTGTATACATCTAAGTTAAAATAAGGGTAGGGCTGTCTTATTTTTTATCATTAAAATGCTGTTGTGCAAAGTGATAGGGATTTGGTATTAGGAGCAGCTGTTATTTAATAGCAGTTTAATAATTATTGTCTAGATTTCATAATTGAGACTGAGCTTTATTGCTAATAGTAATTTAACTTGAGGTCACTCAGGAAGTAAATGAACAGACCAGAGGGCAGATTATTTTACTGTAGATAAAATACAGTTGGACCCTTTAACACTGCAAGGGTTAGAGGCTGATCACCTGCAGTCAGAAATCCATGCTTAAGTTGGCTCTCTGTATATGCAGGTTCCAATTGACCCTTGAACAATGTGTTTAAACTAAGAGGGTCGGTTGACTTCTGTAGGCTATTTGGAAAAAAAAATCTGCTTATAAATGGACTTTCCCAGTTCCAACACAGGTTAGGAGTCACGTGTAATTTAGCTATTGATTTTTGTCCTCTTCCTTGACTGAATTGGATGAGATAAATATCTTTGAGGGATAAGACTATCAGTGAATTTTATATCATGGTTATTACATGATAATTTTAAGGTAGTGGGGATTTACTTAAAATTGTATTTAAGGGGTAAAATAACTTGTGATTTAGTCCTAATTAAATTAGCTCAGATATCTCCCCTCTCCTTTCTATCTCTAGTAAAATAGGTGAAATAGAGATACTGGCACTATATTTGAAACTAGAAAAGCATTTAAATACAGTTTAAACAGTGTTCAGGTATTAGGAAAAAGTTACACATTACTGGGCAGGTATTATGCACCATGTATTGACTATTTGGTATTTGTGCTTTATTAGAATGTCCTCAATTTGGATACATTCTCTTCCTTTAACCTCTGCCTCTTCAAGAAATAGTTTTAGCAATAAAGGTACAAAAAAGTACTTTTCAAAATTTTTAGCATAAGTTTAAGTTCTCTCCTTTAGCCATGCTCTCAAATAGATGGTTTTCATGATTTAAAGTTGTATACCTTGTATACCCCAGAAGACCTTATATTTTTAAGTAATTTGAAAACATTGTAATATAAACTATGAGTATTGGAATGCCCATCATTTATTGAGTTAAAATGTGATAGCTACTGTGTTGAGCTCTATAAGCATTCGCTCATTCAATCTACACAACAATTAAGGTACAGAGATTATTACCATCCCATTTTTTAGGGGAAGAAATTCAGACTTTGTATTGTCTGACATCAGTCATTGACAGAGCTGGAGTTCAAATAGTTCTCTTTCTCTAATCCACAATCTTAGCTACTGTGCTTTTTTACCTCTTATGGAAATATCTTCAATAAATTTCTTAGATCTTTCCTGAACAGCAGCTTAGCCCTGAGTTTAGGAGCTAGAGTGGCCAGAAAGCAGTTTGCTGAGGAGCTTGGTGGCATGGGCCTAACCTAGCCTCCTAATATCAGAGGCAGGGATGGAAAGATCTAGACTGTGTTTTTGCTAACACCCGTAAAGCACAGTAATAACTAGCGAGCCATGCACCAGAACAGGTAGCTTTTTAACTAAGGTACTACATGACCTTCTAAGGTAGTTAGGGTACCTAATATCAGAGGCAGGGATGGAAAGATCTAGACTGTTTTTGCTAACACCTGTAAAGCACAGCAATAACTGGCGAGCCATGCACCAGAACAGGTTGCTTTTTTACTAAGATACTACATGACCTTCTAAGGTAGTTAGGGTAGTTTGCAGTAACCCATACTTAACAAGTGTGACTGGAATATAGTACGATTGAGTAGTCATTTACTAACCATTTGTAACACTTAAGGCTATATTACAGCTTCATCATTTAAATCCATTATGGAATTAAAGCAGTATATTTTATCCTAACAGTTTTATTTATTTTTATTTAACTTCTAATTTAAGTTTTTTAGCTCAGATATCTCCCCTTGCTATTTAAGTTTTTTAGGAACTTCACTATAAACATATGTCAATCACAAAGGCGATTAAGCGGTTACATAAATAATGCTTCTTTTATTGGATGGGCTTATAACGTGCAAACTATTCAGAGGAAAAGGAGCAAGATTAAGAGATAATGGGCAGACTTATTGTCTTTTAACTTAAATCTCCTAATTGCATGATGGTAACAAACAAAAAGTTAAATGCAGGCTCAATAGCCACTATTAATTGTTGAAATCTCTCAGATGCGTGTGTTTAATTTCACTTCTGGAAATAAAATATAGATACTAATAACTTAAATTTGTTTATTATAAGCTTTATTAGAATTAAAGATAGAAAATTTTCTTTTATTTGCAGTTTAATGATGTAAGTTTTTATGGCAATTTAAAATAGTTTACAATAATTACTTACACATATATACATATACTTCATTATATTATCCTTTTAGACATATGTAAGGAATAAAGCTAATAATTTATGAAGTTTAACAATCAGAAAATGCTCTTTAAAATAATTTCCTTAAGTGTGTTAGTGTAGGTATAAAGCTCATAATTACCAAAATACTTACAGTAAAAGCATGAACCCAAGTCATTAAATAAAAACAAGAGCACATTTGTAAAAAAAGTGCACAAAAATCATGCTCTTGTACATACTTTCCAGAAGGGCGTATATGTACTTTTAGGCACTGTCTTCTCTTCAGGTTTCTGTACCTACAATGTAGAGCAGGACTTGGGATGTCCAGGTGCTACTGCAGGAAGATGACTAAGGCAACCACGTGCAGAAAGCTTGTGTAATGCGCAGAGAAATGTAAGAGAGCATTCACAAGTAAAGGTTTGCAGTGATAGTTGTGTCTTCATGTGATCAAAAAATAAAATCTAACAATGCACTGGAGTCATATGAATGTACTTATGTACAAAATCTTCACCTTTAAAAAGACATTTTAGGCTAGCTGGAGTGGCTCAGTGGTTGCGTATTGTGGAGTTCAGGGTTCAATTCCAGGTCAGGGCACATGCCTGGGTTGCAGACTTGATTCCCAGTGTGGAACATGCAGGAGGCAGACAATGATCCTCTATCATCACTGATGTTTTTCTCTCTCCCTGTCCCTTCCTCTCTGAAATCAATAGAAATATTTTTAAAGAGACTTTTTAAATGTTTAAAACAGACATTTCATTTCTGTGCTGTTTTATAGAGTGGCTATGTGGCTTCTTGACTTCAAATAAATAGCTGGTTAATTATGAGACGCAACTACTTCTAACCCGAGTATAAAATAGACACATTCTATATATGGAATGTTTAACATAGATATTGGACTTCAAAAGTGACAATCTTTAAAAACTCGTGTTTTATCATATTGCATAGCTGCAAATGCATGTTATAGAAGTGGTTTATTCAAGCAGAATTTTGCTCCAATCTCCTTCAGTTCCTTCTTTCATACTGTACAGTGGATCCACAAGTTTATTGTGCACGTGCATTAAACCTTAAAGAAAAAAGCACAGTTCTAATATTTTAAATTTTTTTAACTATATCTCATTTACATTAGAAAACAAAATATTTTATAAGATAAAATAAGTATATAGGTTTCCATCTGATACAAAAATAATTTAAAAAATACAAATAGAGACATTTTGAAATGTTTAACCTACCATTATAAATACTAATTTATAATAAATACTTATGAATCTAGGTATAGAATTTATACAATTTATTTTGCAGTAACCAGAAGTAGGAGCAGTTCTTGTGTTCAGAGTTTCAGTATGACAAAATGACAGATTTTAATACTGACTTGGTTAATACATTTTAATTACATCAGAGGCCTGATGCACGAAAATTCGTGCAGAGTAGGTCTTCCTTTCCCAGGCAGCCGGCACTAGCTTCCCTCTGGCACCTGGGACTAGGGCTTCCCTCCTCCGGCTGCCAGCAGGCACCCAGGACACCAGCTTGCTTCCTTCCTCCAGCCACCTGCAGGTACCAAGGACCCAGGCTGGCTTCCCTCCTCCAGCCACCTGCAGGTACCAAGGACCCAGGCTGGCTTCCCTCCTCCAGCCACCTGCAGGTACCAAGGACCCAGGCTGGCTTCCCTCCTCCAGCCACCTGCAGGTACCAAGGACCCAGGCTGGCTTCCCTCCTCCAGCCACCTGCAGGTACCAAGGACCCAGGCTGGCTTCCCTCCTCCAGCCACCTGCAGGTACCCAGAACCCAGGCTGGCTTCCCTCCTCCAGCCACCTGCAGGTACCAAGGACCCAGGCTGGCTTCCCTCCTCCAGCCACCTGCAGGTACCCAGGACCCAGGCTGGCTTCCCTCCGGTCCCAGCTTCATCAGGAAAGGGGTCCGGACCAATTAGTATATTACCCTTTTATTATTATAGATGTAAGAGTGGAGTTAAATCCTCGCTCATTTCCTTTATCAGAGCCCAATGAAAAGCTCAGAACTGTTTTTGCTAGGGTAGCTTTAATTCCTCAGTGGAATACTGTTTATCCATTAATCTAGCAAATTAATTTCCATTGTTTTGACATGCATATTTACAATAGGAGTTGATTACAAGCCACATCAAGGGGGAGGAGGGGTTACTAAAACAATACAGAAGAGAACCTATATTAAATGCTACCGGTAATTTCCAAGGAGATTTAAATTTCATCTTATAATTGGTATGCTTGTGAATTCTTTCTTCTTAAAGCTTCTTGGAAAATATCTCTCAGTTATTAATGTCTTAATGCACACATACTCTATTTCTTTGGGGGAAATAAACAAAAAAATTGTCCCAATTAGTGAACTAAAGATTTTATATTTTGTAAGTTAAAGACATGAATTAAATTTTCCAATAAAAACAAAGGCAGGAGAAAGGGTTTCAATGCAATTTTCTCAGGAAATGGTGTTATTGGACAGGGGAGACAGGACACTTCTTGGTTAGTATTATAGATGGTTCTTGTTCAAAAAGCTGCAAAAGCACTCTAAAATCTAAACTGTGCGGATGATCTGCTTTTAAGAAATAAGCAAAGATAGGGACATGCAAAGAACACTGAACTGTTCGTGTATTAGGAGAAAAACCAGAAGTAAAGAGTTTTAAAAGGAGAGAAGACAGAACATTCATTAGCTCTTCTCAAGAGAACAGAATGATACCTGCACAACAGCCTATTTCAGTGTCTAATCAGCAGCTTAAACTTAACAAGGTCCAGACCCATGTGTTGCCTTGCGAACCATTTCTTTGAAAGTCTGGTATATGGTGTTCCACTCCAATGAGCTGCTATAGCCAGACCACTGCAATCTAGTTTTTCTCTTTTTAAATTCAGCAGTTTGCACTAGATGCTCTTTGACTTATGATGGGATTACCCCTTACTAAACCCTTAAGTTGAAAATATTTTAAATTGAAAATGCAATTAAAATACTCTATGGATTGTTTACTCTCATGATCACATGGCAGACTGGACTGCCCTGCATCACAAGAGTATTTTACTATCAGTATCCCAGAACAAGATCAAAACTCAGGGTATAATTTCTCCTGAATGCATATCTTCTTGCACCATTGTAGAGAGTCAAAGTGAGGGGCTGTCTGTTCTTTCAAAATATATATCCAACTAGAGGCCCGATGCACGTAATTCATGCAGGAGGTGTGTGGGGGGGGGGAAGTCCCCTCAACCCAGTCTGCACCCTCACTCAATCTGGGACTCCTTGCTCCTAAGTGCCTGCCTGCCACTTGGATCACCACTCCCTAGCACTGCTGCAGAGGCAGGAGAGGCTCCTGCCACAGCTGCTGTGCTAGCCAGCCATGGACCCGGCTTCTGGCTAAGGGGTGCTCTTGCTGTGGGAATGCACTGACCACGGGGGGTAGCTCCCGAGCATCTGCCCCCCTGGTGGTCAGTGTGTGTCATAGCAACCAGTTGTTCTGGTTGTTCCACTGTTACGGTCGATGGGCTTCTATAAGATAGATTAGCCATAGTGTATCTCCCCACTACTACCCTAGTTGAAACCACTCTTCAAATCTAAATCAATTACTTACAATTATCTACTTTGACTCACTTACCCCATCCCATAATAGTTTCTGCACAGCCTTTCTAAAACAAACTGGATTGTACCATTTCCCTATTTAAAATTCTCCAATTGCTCTGGCCACTTGCAAAATAAATTGGATTTTAATCTGTTTTCTTTATCCACCTGACCTCATGTCCTCTCACTTTCCCACTTTTATGCTGTACTCATCCCTAGGTTTGTTGCTGTTACGGCAGAAAAGCTAACCTCGGTACCAGTGCAGGATTTGTATACTTGATTCAGCCTGGTTGCTCTTCTCCTTGAGTGAAGTCTGACTGTCTGCTTTTTATTTATTAGGTCTTAGCCCAAATGTCAACTTAAACTATTCATGCCACTTCACTTTCCTAAAAGCAACTTTCATTCTTAGAAAATAGTATTTTCTACCATGTTTCCAACTGGAAACTAGGTCCAGGACCATATATTCGCTGTCGTAAGTCCTGGGCCTATGAAGGTCATTGCACATAGTGGAAGCACAATAAACATTTATTTTTAAAAGTCTACGAAGGCCCTGGCTGGTGTGGCTCAGTGGGCATCTTCCTGTGCACCAAAAGGTTGTGGATTCCATTCCCAGTCAGGGCATATGCCTGGGTTGTGGGCTCAATCTCCAGTAGAGGGCAAGCAGGAGGCAGCCACCAATTGATGTTATGCTCTCACATGGATATTGTCCCTCTCCTTTCTTTAAAAATCAAAATCAGTAAACTGCTCTTAAAAATAAGTGGTTGAACATCGACCTATGAACCAAGAGGTCACCAGTTCAATTGCCAGTCAGGGCATGTGCCTGGGTTGTGGGCTTGATGTCCAGTATGGATCGTGCAGGAGAAAGCTAATCAATGATTCTCAGCACTGATGCTCTCTAACCTTCCTCTCTGAAATCAATAAAAATATATTTTTTAAAAATAATAAAAAAGTGGAAGGTTTAAAGAGCTAGTGATAATTAGCTTTTTAAAATATAAAATCAAGATGGAACAGAAAGGGAAAAGTTCATTAGTAATGTCTTAAAAACATTACCTCAAGCAAATAAAACAATTTTATTTTAAAAAGTAAAAAAAATTAAGTTCTAAAATGTTTTCCTGTGATATACTTTTATCTTTCAAAAGGAATATATTAAAATAAACTTTGATGAGCCGAGACCGTTTTGGCTCAATGGATAGAGCTTCGGCTTGGGGACTGAAGGGTCCCGGGTTCGATTCTGGTCAAGGGCATGTACCTTGGTTGCGGGCATATCCCCAGTAGGGGGTGTGCAGGAGGCAACTGGTTGATGACTCTCTCTCATCAATGTTTCTAGCTCTCTATCTCTCTCCCTTCCTCTCTGTACAAAATCAATAAAATATTTTTTAAAAATAAACTTTACTGATGATTCTTACTGTTTAAATGTATTAATCTACATTTTCTTCAGGAGCTAAATAATCAAACCTTTAAGATTCCTGTTCTAGTTTTAGGTGATGGCAGAAGAAAGGGTAGTGGTGTGAAGGGAATTTGAAAAATCAGAAATAACAGGATTCATATCCTCCAGTATATATCAAAGTGATACAGTCACTCAATGAGGATAAGGCATATATAAATTACATTTATTATATGTCCAAGTTCATGAATAACAACTATTCTACCCTATATCAAAACACCTATTGTAAGATGAGGTCTATATACAGCCCAGAACAATGTCTCAATTCCACTTTTCTCCATATTGAGGAGAAAGCTGATCGAAGCTGATCTCCTGAACCTCTTCGGCTATGTACATCTCCAAGGGGAAATGAGAGTGTCCTCAAAGAGGCAAGGCAGCAGTTCTCTCATCCACAGTTCTACAGGCAGTCCTCAGGTTACGTCGGACTTACGTCGTTT